TTTACAATAGTTAAGATCTGGAAACAGCCCAAGTGTCCATCAGTAGACGAATGGATAAAAAAGCTGTGGTACATATACACAATGGAGTACTATGCAGCGGTAAGAAAGAAAGATCTCTTATCCTTTGAGATGACATGGAGGGACCTGGAAAGTATTATCCTAAGTGAAAGAAGCCAAGCAGAAAAAGACAAATACCACATGATCTCACTTATATACAGAATATAATGAACATAACAGTCTGAGGAATACAGTAGACCCAGAAACATGGAAGTAGGGCACCTACTGACATCCCTCAGAAGAGGGGGTGGGGGGGGTGGGAAGAGATAAACCACAGAACTGATATGCATGAATGTTTGACCAATGGACATGGACAACTAAGCCGGAGACGGGGCGTGGGTGGGGTGGGGAGGGGGGTGCCAATGGGGTAAAAAAGGTAAAATATCTGTAACAAAAAAATAAATAAATAATTTATATAAAAACAAAAGAAAGCAAAATCACAGTGGACAGGCTTAGTATCTCAAAATGGCAATGACAAAAGTGACTGGACACATACAATAATATTAAAGGTATTTTTAAAACAAAACAAAATTTTGGTGTTATTTCTAGGAATTGATGCTGCAGGTTTCTAAGATCTATATGTGTGGTGTGTGTGTGTGGCAATCTTCAATAAGTTAAATGTAGAATAGCCATATGACCCAGCAATTCCTCTTCTAAGTGTCTACTCAAAAGAACTGAAAATAGCCCTCTCCGGTTTGGCTCAGCAGTTAGAGCACTGGCCCTCAGACCAATGAGTCACACATTCAGTTCCGGTCAAGGGCATTTACCTCAGTTGCAGTTTGTCCCTGGTCCTGGTTGGGTCATGAGGGAGGCAACCAGTCAATGTGTCTCTCTCATATCAGTGTCTCTCTAGCATCGATGTTTCTCGCTCCCTCTCTCTCCCTCCCTCCCACTCTGTCTGATGATAAATGGAAAATATATCCCCAGGTGAGGATTAAAAAAAAGAAAGAAAGAAATGTACACAAAACAGATAGAATTAATCTTGAGCCTTCTACTTTGGGATTTTGATGGAGTTAGCTGGTAAAATATAGGGGACTCCCTAACTCTAAAACAAAACTCATAAAGGATGGAGAGTATTCAGTCAGATATAATACACATTTCTCTATCACAAAATTCACAAAACGTGAAGTCTGGGTTTCAAGTTACTTCCTGAAGATTCCACAGCTAGTGAGTCATACAAATGAGATCTGCACCAAGACTTCTGATTGCCAGTCCAGTGCTCCTCTCCACCATGCTGTTGAAAATGATGAGTGAAATGGAATTTTGAGGGAGAAAAAGAAAAGAATCAAAAACACGGAATTTCTAAAAACATCGAGATACTCTTTCTTATCCAACACTGATAAAAATGAGAAAGTCTGACCCTATCAATTGTCACTAAAGGTATGGAGCTCTGAGAACTCATAAGCCTGCTGGGGGAGGAATGAATTGGAGCCATCAATTTGGAAAGAAATTTGGCAGTACCTAGGAAAGCGAGAGATGTGCATACCCTCAGTTGGTGATCCAGACGCACGCTCCTTCACGTGTGTCCAGTATATTTATTGCAGCATTCTTGTAATAAAAGGCAGATCCAGTTCTGTGGGGCTTGAAACTTTACATAATTGGCGAGGTTCTCTTTAAGGAAAATGATACAAAATTACAAATATTAAAGGAAATATTTATTTAGAATGAAAGAAGTGGTTACAAGAAAGTTCTAGAGCCTTGGCAGTCCATGTCCCTGTATTCTGAGTTCCTTTAGAAATGCTTCCCTGTTGCTTCTCCTCTCCCTGGACCACTCCCAGCACTGAGCAGGAGAGGTGTAGTGAGGGAGCGGGGTGAGAGAGACATACATGCAAATAAGGGGCTCTGAGCTCAACTTTCATTAGCCTCATGGTAAATTCACCTCTGCCTGTAATTGAGAACAGTCCAAATAACTATCAGAATGAGAATGAATAAATTGTGGTACATTCATATGATGGAATATTAAAAAGAACTAGAGCAACATGGATAGACCTCAAAAAATAAGTTTGAGTTGTAGAATAATATATAGTGTAAGATACCATTTATTTAAAGTTTAAAAATATGCAAAACAATACAAGTCTCTAGATACATACATATTATATATACATATATGTACACATGTGTGTGTACGTATATGTGTATAAACTTCTAACAATATGAAAGGAAATCATAAATTCTGAATTCTAGACAGTGGTTACCTCTAACCAGGAGGAAAAGAAAGAAAATCAGAGGGGTACAAGAGAGATTCATTGTATCTGGTTTTCATTTTTTCTTGAAATAAAAAAGGAAGATCTGAAGGAGATGTGACAAAATATTAAGATTTGATTTAACAAACTTAGGCGGTAGCTACCAAAGAGGATTGTATAACCCTCTAAACTCCTCTTTATGTAGGGAAAGAAGATGTTTTACTTCTCGCAGCAGACCTGATTCTTCTATTTTTAATATTGAATTTATACATTTGTTGAGGTATACATAAGTAAAATGCAGAGCTCAAGGAATGTTTACATATGTGAGCACGGTAAGCGCACCCAGATCACAATAGAGAATGCTTGCAACTCCCTTAACTTCACACAGTTCCCCTTTTGCAGGCTAATACAGGGTGGCAAAAAAGTAGGTTTAGTTGTTTGTATGAAATATAATACAATAATTAATAAATAACTCAATAATAAACTCTGTGGCCCAGCCAGAGTGGCTCAGTTGGTTGAATGTTCTCTTGTGCACCAAAAGGTTGCCCATTAGATTCCTGTCAAGGCACATGAATGGGTTGCGGTTTGATCCCCAGTTGGGGAGCATATGGAAGACAACCCATCTCTCTCTCTCTCTCTCCCTCCCTCCCTCCCTCCTGCTCTATCTCAAAATAAATGCACCCCCCCAAAAAAAATTTCCTCGAGTGAGGATAAAAAAAAAGAAGAAACTGTTACATATACTCACAACTGTAAACCTACTTTTGCCCCTCTCTGTACTCATCCTGTGGTCTCAGCTTAGCTATCACTTCCTCAAGGAAAACTACCTTGCTCCCCCCAAGATTTGGTTACTACTGCTCTTCTGTGCTTATTCCTTTAATTGACGATTTACTTGTCAGCTTCTTTTTTCAAGGTATGAAAAGTGCCCAAGAACTATGGTATTTTCATAGGAAATACTTTCTAGTCTACCTTGAAAACAATTTTACAATTCCTCGGGGCTGTTTACCCTCCTGCCAATGTTTCCTGTTCACATTCTGGCATGACTCTTTCTTACACCCCAAACTGATTAAATTCTGATCCTCCTCAAAAACTCAGTTTAATTATTTCCTCCTCTAGACCACCACTCCACTTGAGTCCATTTATATGTACTTATTTTGTTGCAATGATCTGTTGTCTTGCCAGTCCCCATCTCTAGACCATGAGCTCCTCCATGGAAGGGACCAAGATTTTTTCCCACCTTGAGACACTGTATAGCATAATAGTTTAGTGCACAAAGTCAGGATTTGGGAGCTTAAATCTCACACTTATAGGATGTATACCTTTGAGCAAATCATATAAACTTTCTTTTTTTTTAATTTTTTTCTTTGTTGATTTTTAGAGAGAGGAAGGGAGAGGGAGAGAGAGAAAGGGAGAGGGAGGGAGAAAAAGGGAGAAGGAGAGAGAAAGGGAGAGGGAGACATAGAAACATCTATGGGAGATAATATCAATTGGCCGCCCCCTGCATGCCCCCAACTGGGGATCAGGCCCACAATGTGGGCGTGTGCCCTGACCGGGAATTCAACAGGCGACTTCTTGGTACATGGGTCCACATTGAACCGCTGAGCCACACCAGCCCGGCCGTATAAACTTTCTGTGCCTAAATTTCCTTATTTGTAAAATGGGCCTAATAATAGTGCAAATTTAAGTAACTAGCCCTTATTTCTTTTAACTAGAAACCTCTCTATGCTTGTAGGAGCTGCAGGGGGAAAATTATTTTTGGATACATTTTAAAGGTAGCCTAATATATAAAAGATCAATGTTTCCAGGTCAAACAAATGCAGATGGAAACAGGAAGAGAGAAAGAGACAGACAGACAAGATTCTGGCAGATAATGCCCGACATCCCACCAGCCTCTCGGCAACATCATGCTGTGTGCCTTCTCCGACTCCCACAATATTCGAGGGCTATTCAGTTCCTGTTACTTGTAAAAGGTCTACCTTCCCCAGCCATACTTGCCATTCCACGCTTAGGCTCTGGCCGGGAACTTTTATGCCAGTGTCTGTTTAGATTCCCGATGCCACACAACGGACTTGAGCAGGGGTTATGGCTTGTCTATCTCTGTGCTCAGAATTCAGGAACGACTGATGCCCTTGGGCTGCCTCAGCAACTAAGTCTTCTCCTAGATGCTTTTCCCCTTCATCGGTCACTCCTGGCCTCTGTGTTCTCAGCATCACCTGCAAGCTTTAGAAAGTGAAACTCTCAGACCCCGCTGCACATGGGCTCCGCAGTTCCTTCGGCCCTAAACCCCAACAACCTTAAATCCTTAGATCAGCCCCTTCTCCTGGCCCCGCCCCTTCCTCCGCTCCGCCTCCTCTTTAACTAGGAGTCACGAGTACGCATGCTCTCTCTTAGCCTCCTCGTAGCGTGATGACGCTGGCGTTGGCGTGGTGACGTAGGCGGTGGCGCCTCGCCTCTCGGCTGGGGGTCGGGGGTGTAGGTTTAGGAACCACGCGGGACCGTGGGGCGTCCCGGCCGCCGGCGGCACGTGGTGTCCTTTCTGCTTACGCCGCTGAATGTTTTGTCTCCGTCCCGCCCCCGGGGGAGAGGGAGACAGAGAGGCTCTTTGGGGACAGAGCTGGCCCCTAGGGGGAAGGCAGTAACCGGGGGGCTTTGGAGCATCTGAGCACAGGGCTGCAGCCCGGAATTTGGGGGCGGCCGAGAGGGGCGTGTCCCCCCCGCGGGGTCGGAACCGGCCAGGATCAGGGCTCGTGCCGCGGAGGGAGGGCCTGGGCCACCCGCGCGATGTTTGGGGCCCGGTGCCTGCTCCGAGCCCTGCGCTCCTGCTCCTCTGCTCCCTGCCCGAGACACAAGCCTTCGGCCAAACTGAGCGTGCGGGACGCTCTCGGGGCCCAGAACGCGAGTGGGGAGCGCGTTAAGGTTCAGGTTGGTGTATGGGAAAGGGATTTTTTTTTTTCTTTTTAGTGACTTATATGGCACATCCACATCTAGGCTTGCCTTGTACCCTCGGGTCAAACGACTGGCAGGGAAAGTTAGAAAACGTAGGCAGTCGCGTGCGCTCACACTCTTCTTTCATTGGCAACCATTACTTTTCGCAAAACTGTTGCAATGCCTAGAAAGCGCTCGAACTTAGCTGGGCACCAGGGCATTACCTGCAAACTTGTTCATCATACAGCAAAAGAAACGAAGGGGCCCCTTTTCCTTTGGCCCTTATGATGGATATACACAGTTATATCCTGATTGTCGAGCTAGCTCCTTGAGAGCAGAAAACATGACTTACCTGTCTTGGTATTCGCAGATGGCTGACGGTAATTATTTGTTCAACTAAACCATACCTTTCACTCGACGTGTAGCCATCTGTCTAAAATGGAGCTTTGCATATAATGTTTAATCAGCTAGGAAAAAGAGTGGAGTGTGGCAGTTTGAAAGAGCTCTGGAGTCAAGCTGCCTAGGTTTAAATCGTCTTATAGAAATTAAGGTAATAATAGTCCTTTAGCCGAAGATTAAGTAAGGTAATAGTTATAAGACATAGAACAGTGGTCCAGTCAGTAAACGTTATTATTTCTTGCTAATAATATTTGCAGCAGCTCCTCTTAAAGGAGCAGGCCAAGCAAGGTGGTTTGACCGTTTTATTAGATTGCTGAAACACACTGATGCAATTATTTTTGTTGTTTTCACGTATCCTTGACTTTTAGCAATATGACTAATCTACCCCTCTGCATTTCTTTGGGTTTCATATTCTCTCCTTGATCCACATCAAAATCTTTTCTTGAATTCACCTATTAATTCGACATACATTAATGATACCTTTTATGTGCTAGTCTACAGACGTCTCAAAGGTGAAAAGAACAACCTAGTGCCTAGATTAGAGGCTTTAATTTTAGCTAGCTACCTGACACTTGTACTTCTACTGAGCACTTAAAATTTGGGTAGTCTGAATTGAGAGGTGCTGTAAATAAAATATCAATTCTGAAGAACAAAAAGAATCCAAAATATTTTATATTAATTATATGTTGTTAATATAACGAGCATAATGGGTTAAATAAAATATTAAAATTAATTTCACCTGGTTTTATTTGTTTTATGTTTAATGTGACCACTAAAAAATGTAAAATTATTTATGTGGCTCACATATTTTTGTTGGACAGTCCTGGTCTAATAGGTAAAACAAGGCATTACAATGATATGATAGGTATTAGTGGTATAAATAAGGAACTTGGAGAGAACAGAGAGGGAAGTCCTAACTGTGAGGAAATCAAGGAAGACTCCTTTTCTTTAGGGTATGGTGGGGACACAAAGTAAGGGTCAGTACAGTCATGCACCACATAATGTTTCGATCAGTGACAGACCCATGAAAGACGTGGTCCCATAAGATTATAATGGAGTTGAAAAATCCCTATCACCTAGTGACTTGGTAACCTTATAACTAACATCATAGTGCAGGGCATTACATGTTTGTGGCGATGCTTATGTAAATCTACTTTGCTGCCAGTTGATTAAAGTTTAGCACATACAATTGTGTTCATAATCCTTCTAAGGATGATAAATATGTTGCTGGTTTGTGTATTTACTATACTGTATTTTATCATATTAGAGTCTGCTCTTTCTACTTATAACAAGTTTGCTGTAGAACAGTATGCCATGTTACACCTGCAGCTGCCACATACTTCTTGCATTTGCTGCATCTCTCAACTGGTGTCATTTTCTCTTGTGCTTGATTTAATCTCATGTTGTTTTGTGCAGTAACGTGTAGGTGTGTAGTAGCTATACCATTTAGATTTGTTTAAGTGCATTCTGATGTTCGCACAATGACAAAGTTTCCCAACAACGCAGTTCTCAAATATTTCTGTCATTAAGTGGTGCATAGCTGTATAGTTTTTCTAAGGAATGTTTACTGGTTAATCATATTCCACCAATTGTTTCACAGTTATTCAGTGTCTGCTGGAGGAATATTCTCCCTTACCTTCTCTGCTAGTTAAATGTAAGCTAGATGTGATAGATGAGCGAGCCATTTTCAATGTTAATCGGTCTACCTAAAGACATCTCATTTGTACTCAGACCTACCTGTCATTTAAATTCAGAGTGTATTAGCCCTGGCTGATTTGGCTGAGCGATTAGTGTATCGGTCCTTCAAGCTTGGGCCTTTTTTCCTCCAACATCTTCATGCAGCAATATCCCTCACCCATTCTTTGCTTCAATGTCTCTTAACTACTTGTAGCTTTTAACCTGATTATGGGTTAAAAACTTCTGTCATTAAACATTTTAAAGTTTAGAGTGTCTTTGGAAGTTTGTGTACTACTTAATGTGTTCATAATGAGAAGTGGGGTTTTTTTGTTTGTTTTATTAATTCTCACCCGAGGATATTTTTCCATTGATTTTTAGATAGAGCAGAAGGGAGAGAGGGAGAGAGAGAAACATCAATGTGAGAGAGACACATCAATCGGTTACCTCCTGCATGTCCCCAACCAGGGTTGGGATCACACCTGCAATAGAATGAGCTTTATTAACAGAACAAAACAAACGGTGGAATATCAAAGCTATATCTCACTGTGTTAAGAACCATATAAAAGTACATACACATAGGAGTAAATTAAAAGCAATCAATTTGTTAAGGGAGGATTATGGGGACATTCTTAATCTTCTATATGTATGTGTAATGGGAATGTAAAATGTTTGTTTTAAACTCACATTTAGAAATATTTTGCTTCGTTAGGGATGGGTTCGTTCAGTCCGATCTCAGAAGGAGGTCTTGTTCCTGCACGTAAATGATGGGTCATCTTTGGAAAGCCTTCAGGTTGTAGCAGATTCAAATTGTGACAGTAGGTGAGTTTAAAAAAAAAAGTGAGTCCTTTGATTTTGTGTTTTTTAATCTCTTCTGCCCCTCTCCCCTATTTCCCTAATCAAGTGTTCACATTGCATCCTGTGTGATCTTTCTAAACAAATCTGCTTTTCATAGTTTTGAGGCTCAAGTTCAAATACTTAGAATCAAGATCCTTCAAGCTTGGGCCTTACCTTCTGCTAACATCTTCATGCAACAATATTCCTCACTTATTCTTTGCTTTAGTGTCTCTTAACTACCTAATTATAGGTAAAAACTTCTATCATTAAACATTTTAATGTTCCTGTAGCAAGATTTGTATTAAAACGAGGGTTGCATGTAATGATATCTTGTTTATGCTGTGTTTTTGTTACTGTAGAGAACTGGCTTTTGGGAGTTCTGTGGAAGTTCAGGGCCAGCTGGTAAAAAGTTTATCCAAAAAGCAAAATGTGGAACTGAAGGCAGAAAAAATTGAAGTTGTTGGAAGTTGTGATCCCAAGGTATGTTTTCTGACACTTTTATTAGAGGCTGTTTAGACTTAATTAAAAACATTAACAATCTGTTTTAAGTGTGATTATTAGGAAGATGGCCCTTAGAACATGTTTTGATTGTGATTTCCCAGGTAACTGAAACAGGCAGTAGAGCCTAAGGAATATGGACAGAGTAGCAAAAAGTATGTATGTAGATGGCTGAGTCTTATGAGCGAGAACTACATATTGGTCTATGCATCTCTGTGGTGCCTGTCACAGTTGAAACTTGCCACTTTTACAAGCATGCCCAGTGACGGAGACATAACAGGGCAGGCCACGTTCTTAGGAAAGCTCTGTCTAGAAGTGACTTGCATGATCTAGAACTGTTATGTCCAATACGGTATCCATTAGCTACCTGTGGCTGTTTAATATTAAATCAATTAAAATTAAATTAAAAAATTCCATGCCTCAAGGTCATTAGCCACATTTCAAGTGCTCATTGGTCACATGCAGCTAGTGGCTACCATATTGGATAGCACAGATACAGAACACTTCTATTTTTCATAGAAAGTTCTGTTGGAGGGTGCTAGAGTATTGTAATGCTTGGGCTGAACAAAGAAATTGTACATTAAGCCCTGGCCGGTTTGGCTCAGTGGTTAGATCATCGGCCTGTGGTCCGGAGAGACCCGGGTTCGGTTCCCGCTAAGGGCATGTACCTCGGTTGCAGTTTGTCCCCGGCCCTGGTTGGGTCGTGTGGGTGGCAGCCACTCGATGTGACCCTTTCACATCGATGTTTCTCTCTCTCTCTCTTCCTCCCACTCTATCTCAACGAAATGTTGAAAAATGTCCTCTGGTGAGGATTAAAAAAAAAAAAAAGAAATTGTACATTAAGACATGTTTATCCCTGTTTCTTTTTTTGGGGGGGGGGGGGTTCAAATTAAGAGAGCTTTATTAGCCGTGTGGCGACTGTCCCATCCTACTCAGAGGAGAGAGCAGCCTCCCTGTTTCTGTAAGACTCTTCCGTTAATAGCTTTTTATTTGTAGCCTAATAAAGAGGTTAGCAAGAATAAAATAATAGATGATCAATCTAATGTCTTCAATTAGAGAAAATGAGGCCCAGCCAGGTGAAATGACTTACCCAACATGATAGAGCTGAAATTGATGTACTAACCATTTTAACTCCCTGTGGTTTTGTAATACTTGTCTTCAAATGTTTAATGAACAAAAAATGAGGGAATATAAGGAAATTGCATCATTTTAATTCATTTTGAGTTCTCTGGAATAACTGGAAGAAATTAAATATAGGCAATAAGAAAGAAAATGGGCAATGTCTTAAAAATGTCATTCTGGCCCTGGTAGGTTTGAATCAGCAGTTAGAGTGTCCACCTATGGACCAAAGTCAAGGGCTCTAGTACCTGGGTTGCAGGTTTGATCCCTGGCCCTGGTTGAGGTCGTACAGGAGGCAACCAGTCCATGTGTCTCTCTCACATTGATGTTTCTCTCTCTCCCTCCCTCCCACTCTGTCTAAAAAATCAATGGAAAAATATCCATTGATTTTGTTGTTGAGGATTAACAACAACAAAAAACTGTCCTTCAGAATAATTTTCTAAGAAATTCTAATTGACATGTAAAATCAAGAATCAGGTTCTGCCCTGACCTGTTTGGCCTAGTGGTTAAGAGTGTCAGCCAGCAGACCAAATAGTCACAGGTTTGATTCTCGTCAAGGACATGTACCTCAGTTGCAGTTCGTCCTGGCCCTAGTCGGGTCTTGCAGGAGGCATCTGGTCATGTGTCTCACCCACATCCATGTTCTCCCCGCCCCCTCCACTCTATCTGATGATAAATAGAAAAATATCCTTGGGTAGAGATTAAAAAAATAATAGCTCTGCAAAATAAACTGAAAATAATTTGGGAACTCAGAAGAATGGAGATGGTAACCATTTTTGTTTTTCCCTTTTTAGAGGGATATATGATCATTAAAAATGTACCATGTATTTTACTCTTCTTAAATTGTTCTCCCTTGGCTTCTGTGGGTGTTGATACCATCATCTTTTCTTTCCCTTCACTTCTGTCATTTTTAAGTATTCAGACATTAGGGAGTTCTGAACCCCTAGCTGTCCCCAGATTCCTGTTAATGTGGTTATATTTTCATTTTAGTAAGTGTGGAGCTTATTTCTACACAACGTAAATTAATACATGCATGAGGCCTAACAGAAATAGACAAGTCTAAAAGGCTGCTAGTATAGCTCTTTCACTTAACTTCTTTGTTATCTTTTTATTGAAACTGTAATTTTGGTCTGAAAGTCTGTTTCCGTCTTAATCTTATAACATGAGTGTGAGTAGGGTGGAAATTCTTCTAGGTAGTCATAATTTTCTTTAAAATTTTTGTAAATATACACTACTCTGCTAGATTCTTAGCAGTGCATGTTGGTAAACAGTGATTAACCAAGTGTTAACTAATTATGAATTATTTTGGACTTTCAAGACATTTGGGTGATTCTACTGTGTGTATACAGCTGTAGAAAACTATCTTAAATATCTACAATATTCTGAACTCTTGTGTGCCAAACAGTGGAACTATGTTACATAATTATATCCTAATCTCTCTATTTGTGAATGGTGATTGATAGCTAACAGAAATTTGGTAAATAACTGATTAGCCTCGGTGATATTAAGTGTATTTGCCCATGGTTCCACAGCTAATATGTAGTAGAGCAGAATTCAAACCCGCATCTCTGTGATTCCACCCCACCACCATGCTACTAACTGGTTGGAACTAATGTGGACTATATTCAGTTACATTAAGAAATAAAGAAGGAAACCATCTTAGTTTTGTTATAAAGCAGTACTATTTTTAAAATGCCCTGGAAACTATCTTTTTAGCTTCTAATTTGTTTTTGTTTTTTCAATTTACTGGCAGGATTTCCCTTTTAAATATAAAGAGAGGCCTACTCTGGAGTATCTGAGACAATTTCCTCACCTTCGATGTAGGACGAATGTCCTGGGTTCTATACTGAGGGTGCGCAGTGAAGCCACAGCTGCCATTCATTCTTTCTTTAAGGTAAGGTGTTTTGCTTCTCGGTGTTTTGTCTTATAAAGAAACTGAATAATTGTAACACTAGAATATCCTAAAAATTCTGGTTATTCCAAATACCCTTTACTCACATGGTACTTATTTTTGATAATTTAAGTTTTTCTCTTTATCACTAGTTCTAAGCAATTTGATTATGATGTGTCTTGGCACAGTTTTCTTTATGTTGCTCGTGTTTGGAGTTTGTTGAGTTTCTTGGATTGGTTCTTTTCCATTTTATCAATTTTTTAGACATTATTTTTTAAAATTTTTGTATGTTTCTTTCCTCCTTTGGGGATTTAAACTATCCAGATATTAAGCCACTTGATGGTATCACCAGAACTCACTGATGTTCTGATCTTTTCTTTTTTTTAATTCTTTTTTTCTTTATATATTTCTTTTGGATAATTTCTATTGCTATGTGTTCAAGCTTTTTTATCTTTCCTTCTACAACACCTAATTTGTTATTTCTATCCAGTGCATTTTGCATCTCACACATTGTAGATTTTATATCTAGATGTTTGATTTGGACCCTTTAAAAATATGAATCTTCCATTTCTCTATTTAACATTTGAACATATACAATATGGTTTTGAACATATACAATGCGGTAAACGTACTGTTTTTGTGTCCTTCTAATTTTAAGATATCTCTCAGTTTTTATTTATTTATCTCCTCATTATGGATTATGTTTCCCTGCCTCTTCTATTTGGTGCCAGACGTGTGAATTTTAAGGTTCTTAAGCTTTGTTCTGGTATGCAGTTATTTGGAAACTGTTTGGTCCTTTGGGCTTTGGTTTCAAGTAGGTCTGGATAAGTTCTCAGTCTAATTATTCCCACTACTGAGGCAAAACCTTCCCTGGTACTCTACCTAATGCTGTGTGAATGATGAGTTTTTCCAATCTGGCTTGTGGCTACAGACACAGTTTCCAGCCACATGTAAGCACCAGGCACAGTTTCCTCTGATCTTTTTGGGTGGTTCTTTCCCTGGCCTTGGATGGTTTCCTCACAAGCATTTGCTTGATTATTCCTCTACCTAATACTCCAGGTGACCCTCTACACATCTCTTGAGTTCTCTGCACAACTCTCGCCTCTCCGGTACTCTTTCTTGAATTTTAGCCCCTTTGGTCTCCTCAAGCTCTCAGCTCTGTCTCCTCAACTCAGGGAGTCTGCTGGGCTCCATTTAATTACTGCCCCCTGCCATGGCCTGGAAAACCTCAAGGTAGTGAGCTGGGCTACCGTTGGGGTTCACTGTGTTTGTTTCCATCTCTCAGAGATCACTCTCCTTTGTTGTCTGATATTCAGTGTCTTGAAAACCATTCTTTATTGTGGTTTACATGTAGGATTTTTTGATTAGTTGTTGTCTTTTTGGTTTTTTTCAGGTAGGATTATAAATCTGGTCCCTGTTTCTTTGTCTTGGTCATAGACATACTGTATATATACAGTAAGCACAACTTTTAAAGAGTTACTGGGGTTGATCAAGTAGATTGAGCTAATGACTAAAGGCATTTTGTCTAATTTAGCTTTGCTTTTCCACCATTTCCCCTGCCCCGGTAAAGCCACAGTGAAACGTAGTTGGTCAGTTGATGAGGTGAAGGGACCCTACTCCTGTGGATTGGGGGGGTGGGGGGGACGCCAAAGGCAAAGCTCAGTCTTATTCCATGTGGTTTTGGAACTCTTCCTATGCCACTTCTCCAGATCCAGCTAATTTTTTTTTTTTTTTTTAATCCTCCCTCGAGGATTTTTGTTCAGATAGAGTTGGAGGGAGAGAGAGAGAAAAAGAGAGAAACATCGATGTGAGAGGGACACATCGACTGGTTGCCTCCTGCACGACCTCAACCCGGGCCGGGGTGAACTGCAACCAAGGTACTGCCCTTGCCCGCAATTGAACCCGAGACTCATTGGTCCACGGGCCGATGCTTCAACTGCTAAGCCACACTGTCCAGGGCCAGATCCAGCTAATTTGCAGAGATTGTTTAATAGCATGTACCCTTCCCGATATCCAAAATCATGCAGGCCCTGATCTGTTGTAGCTTGCCCAGGGAGTTCTTACTGTTGAAAAAGCTCCTTCAGAGTTGATTTCTAGTAAAACAACTAAAGAACATCATAGCTTTAAAGCATATACTGTAATCTTGAATAAACAAAGGAAAATAAATCACATTATACAATATCATCCCATTCTAGTTGGAAAGGGGACATTGTAAACTTTCTTATGCAACTTCTATATGACTTTTCAATAGTGCTGAATCACACAAACAAAATTAGTTCAAATCTGAAAACGTTTTCCCCCTATGGCTCTAACAGCTAATAAAGTGGACCTGCTTTAATTCTGAAATAGTTGTATAGATTTCCAGCCACCAGGTGGTGGTATTGGCCATCCATTGACAAGTGGACTTCCACCTATTTTTATGCATTTCTTTACTTGAAGCTTTTGAAAATATGTAAATAATTTTAAAATAAGGGAAGAAACTAGAAAAATCTGAAGTCAGAAAATAACCAAAATAGTATATTAAAAAGACATTTGAAGTGGTTGAAAATACATTTTAGCGCTGTTGATGATAGTTATAAAGTAGATACTTTTTTGAGTGTTATAAATACACTTTTTAATTGTAAAGATATGGAAAATATAATCCTGATACCAACTTTTAGAGTGTTACCAATTTGTATGCATGACAGTTAGGATGGAATTATTTAAAGAACTCACAGGAGAGCTATAGGACATATTAAATATTCATTATATATTTTCTAGTATTTGGTACTAATTTCTGAGTTGTTACTCTACACTCCCTACAAGATGTTAATACTTAAAATGTAAAATCTTTATAAATTTCAAATCTAGAAGTATAGGGGGAAAATAAACTTGAGCAGTACCTTTTAGGATACTTGGAGCATCTAGAATTAATTTATTTTAGTTTGAGTATCCAAAGTGTTTTGTTTATAACTTGATTTTCTCATAAAATTGACACATTTTCTATGTACTAAAACTTGGCTATCTAGAATCCTCAAGGAATGAGTTATTTAGAAGAACTGAGTTTGTCAAATAACAGGACTATCTCTTCAGACACCAGTTCTAAATTCCAGCAGAAATTATCCTCCAATGTATTGCATACTTCCCTGGTTTCCTAAATTGAGCCGGAAGAACACAGTTGCCCCTTCTTCTTTTTTTCAATCCTCACCTGAGGACATTTTTCCATTTTTTGTTCAGGTAGAGTGGGAGTGGGAGAGAGGAACAGAGAGAGAGAGAGAGAGAAACGTCGACTTGAAAGGGACACATCGAGTGGCTGCCACCCGCACGACCAACCAGGGCCGGGGACAAACTGCAACTGAGGTACATGCCCCTAGTGGGAACCGAACCTGGGTCTCTCTGGACCGCAGGCCGAACGCTAAGCCAAACCGGCCAGGGCCAATTGCCCCTTCTTGATGAGTCAAGTTTCTTCCTTGAGTATCAGATTTTTCTTTCCTCCGTAGGGCAGTGCTTTCAGAGCCTGCCACACACGGGGCGGCGCATTCTTGGCTGCGCCTTTGAGTCCCTGTGAGTGCTTTTGTTTTTTCCCTTTTGCTTTTAGTTTTTGTTGCCAGTGGTGTACCTGTAACTAGCAATTGCTGCCATGTTTTTGTTTTGATTCTGACAAATAAGGATTCTCATTTTGGGTGTGTTAGAGAAAAATACAGTCCATGAGTCACTGAGTAGCGTGTATGGATGGGTCTTAGTACATGAATTTTATAATTTTCAGATACTCAGTGCCTTATAAAATATCTGATTCTGGAATGTGTAGCCATCAAAATATTTGAATATTTAGAGGTAGTGGGTGCAATCTGAAAAATTGAATGAAAGTGTGTGCTTTTGTGTTTGGTTCCTCCTCTGGCCTTCAGCCTTTCATTAGGAACCGCTTTGCTGGGGAACAGGGCAAGTGCTTCACGCTGGTTCCCCTGGAACCGCTGTGCTGGGGAACAGGGCAAGTGCTTCACGCTGGTTCCCCCTGGAACCGCTGTGCTGGGGAACAGGGCAAGTGCTTCACGCTGGTTCCCCTGGAACCGCTGTGCTGGGGAACAGGGCAAGTGCTTCACGCTGGTTCCCCCTGGAACCGCTGTGCTGGGGAACAGGGCAAGTGCTTCACGCTGGTTCCCCCTGGAACCGCTGTGCTGGGGAACAGGGCAAGTGCTTCACGCTGGTTCCCCTGGAACCGCTTTGCTGGGGAACAGGGCAAGTGCTTCACGCTGGTTCCCCTGGAACCGCTGTGCTGGGGAACAGGGCAAGTGCTTCACGCTGGTTCCCCCTGGAACCGCTGTGCTGGGGAACAGGGCAAGTGCTTCACGCTGGTGCCCCCTGGAACCGCTGTGCTGGGGAACAGGGCAAGTGCTTCACGCTGGTTCCCCCTGGAACCGCTTTGCTGGGGAACAGGGCAAGTGCTTCACGCTGGTTCCCCCTGGAACCGCTTTGCTGGGGAACAGGGCAAGTGCTTCACGCTGGTTCCCCTGGAACCGCTGTGCTGGGGAACAGGGCAAGTGCTTCACGCTGGTTCCCCCTGGAACGGCTTTGCTGGGGAACAGGGCAAGTGCTTCACGCTGGTTCCCCTGGAGCCGCTTTGCTGGGGAACAGGGCAAGTGCTTCACACTGGTTCCCCTGGAACCGCTGTGCTGGGGAACAGGGCAAGTGCTTCACGCTGGTTCCCCTGGAACCGCTTTGCTGGGGAACAGGGCAAGTGCTTCACGCTGGTTCCCCCTGGAACCGCTTTGCTGGGGAACAGGGCAAGTGCTTCACTCTGGTTCCCCTGGAACCGCTGTGCTGGGGAACAGGGCAAGTGCTTCACGCTGGTTCCCCTGGAACCGCTGTGCTGGGGAACAGGGCAAGTGCTTCACGCTGGTTCCCCTGGAACCGCTGTGCTGGGGAACAGGGCAAGTGCTTCACGCTGGTTCCCCTGGAACCGCTTTGCTGGGGAACAGGGCAAGTGCTTCACACTGGTTCCCCTGGAACCGCTGTGCTGGGGAACAGGGCAAGTGCTTCACGCTGGTTCCCCTGGAACCGCTTTGCTGGGGAACAGGGCAAGTGCTTCACGCTGGTTCCCCCTGGAACCGCTTTGCTGGGGAACAGGGCAAGTGCTTCACGCTGGTTCCCCTGGAACCGCTTTGCTGGGGAACAGGGCAAGTGCTTCACGCTGGTTCCCCCTGGAACCGCTTTGCTGGGGAACAGGGCAAGTGCTTCACGCTGGTTCCCCTGGAGCCGCTTTGCTGGGGAACAGGGCAAGTGCTTCACACTGGTTCCCCTGGAACCGCTGTGCTGGGGAACAGGGCAAGTGCTTCACGCTGGTTCCCCTGGAACCGCTTTGCTGGGGAACAGGGCAAGTGCTTCACGCTGGTTCCCCCTGGAACCGCTGTGCTGGGGAACAGGGCAAGTGCTTCACTCTGGTTCCCCCTGGAACCGCTGTGCTGGGGAACAGGGCAAGTGCTTCACGCTGGTGCCCCCTGGAACCGCTGTGCTGGGGAACAGGGCAAGTGCTTCACGCTGGTGCCCCCTGGAACCGCTGTGCTGGGGAACAGGGCAAGTGCTTCACGCTGGTGCCCCCTGGAACCGCTGTGCTGGGGAACAGGGCAAGTGCTTCACGCTGGTTCCCCCTGGAACCGCTGTGCTGGGGAACAGGGCAAGTGCTTCACGCTGGTTCCCCTGGAAAAGCTTTGCTGGGGAATAGGGCAAGTGCTTCACGCTGGTTCCCCTGGAGCCGCTTTGCTGGGGAACAGGGCAAGTGCTTCACGCTGGTTCCCCTGGAGCCGCTGTGCTGGGGAACAGGGCAAGTGCTTCACGCTGGTTCCCCCTGGAACCGCTTTGCTGGGGAGCAGGGCAAGTGCTTCACGCTGGTTCCCCTGGAACCGCTTTGCTGGGGAACAGGGCAAGTGCTTCACGCTGGTTCCCCCTGGAACCGCTTTGCTGGGGAACAGGGCAAGTGCTTCACGCTGGTTCCCCTGGAACCGCTTTGCTGGGGAACAGGGCAAGTGCTTCACGCTGGTTCCCCCTGGAGCCGCTGTGCTGGGGAACAGGGCAAGTGCTTCACGCTGGTTCCCCTGGAACCGCTTTGCTGGGGAACAGGGCAAGTGCTTCACGCTGGTTCCCCTGGAGCCGCTTTGCTGGGGAACAGGGCAAGTGCTTCACGCTGGTTCCCCTGGAACCGCTTTGCTGGGGAACAGGGCAAGTGCTTCACGCTGGTTCCCCCTGGAACCGCTTTGCTGGGGAACAGGGCAAGTGCTTCACGCTGGTTCCCCTGGAACCGCTTTGCTGGGGAACAGGGCAAGTGCTTCACGCTGGTTCCCCCTGGAACCGCTGTGCTGGGGAACAGGGCAAGTGCTTCACGCTGGTGCCCCCTGGAACCGCTGTGCTGGGGAACAGGGCAAGTGCTTCACGCTGGTTCCCCTGGAACCGCTTTGCTGGGGAACAGGGCAAGTGCTTCACGCTGGTTCCCCCTGGAACCGCTGTGCTGGGGAACAGGGCAAGTGCTTCACGCTGGTTCCCCCTGGAACCGCTTTGCTGGGGAACAGGGCAAGTGCTTCACGCTGGTTCCCCTGGAACCGCTTTGCTGGGGAACAGGGCAAGTGCTTCACGCTGGTTCCCCCTGGAACCGCTTTGCTGGGGAACAGGGCAAGTGCTTCACGCTGGTTCCCCTGGAACCGCTTTGCTGGGGAACAGGGCAAGTGCTTCACGCTGGTTCCCCCTGGAACCGCTTTGCTGGGGAACAGGGCAAGTGCTTCACGCTGGTTCCCCCTGGAACCGCTGTGCTGTGGAACAGGGCAAGTGCTTCACGCTGGTTCCCCCTGGAACCGCTGTGCTGGGGAACAGGGCAAGTGCTTCACGCTGGTTCCCCTGGAACCGCTGTGCTGGGGAACAGGGCAAGTGCTTCACGCTGGTTCCCCCTGGAACCGCTGTGCTGGGGAACAGGGCAAGTGCTTCACGCTGGTTCCCCTGGAACCGCTTTGCTGGGGAACAGGGCAAGTGCTTCACGCTGGTTCCCCTGGAAAAGCTTTGCTGGGGAACAGGGCAAGTGCTTCACGCTGGTTCCCCTGGAGCCGCTTTGCTGGGGAACAGGGCAAGTGCTTCACGCTGGTGCCCCCTGGAACCGCTGTGCTGGGGAACAGGGCAAGTGCTTCACGCTGGTTCCCCTGGAACCGCTTTGCTGGGGAACAGGGCAAGTGCTTCACGCTGGGTCCCCCTGGAACCGCTTTGCTGGGGAACAGGGCAAGTGCTTCACGCTGGTTCCCCTGGAACCGCTGTGCTGGGGAACAGGGCAAGTGCTTCACGCTGGTTCCCCTGGAACCGCTGTGCTGGGGAACAGGGCAAGTGCTTCACGCTGGTTCCCCCTGGAACCGCTTTGCTGGGGAACAGGGCAAGTGCTTCACGCTGGTTCCCCTGGAACCGCTGTGCTGGGGAACAGGGCAAGTGCTTCACGCTGGTTCCCCTGGAACCGCTTTGCTGGGGAATAGGGCAAGTGCTTCACGCTGGTTCCCCTGGAACCGCTGTGCTGGGGAACAGGGCAAGTGCTTCACGCTGGTTCCCCTGGAACCGCTGTGCTGGGGAATAGAGCAAGTGCTTCACGCTGGTTCCCCTGGAACCGCTGTGCTGGGGAACAGGGCAAGTGCTTCACGCTGGTTCCCCCTGGAACCGCTGTGCTGGGGAACAGGGCAAGTGCTTCACGCTGGTTCCCCCTGGAACCGCTGTGCTGGGGAACAGGGCAAGTGCTTCACGCTGGTTCCCCCTGGAACCGCTGTGCTGGGGAACAGGGCAAGTGCTTCACGCTGGTTCCCCTGGAACCGCTGTGCTGGGGAACAGGGCAAGTGCTTCACGCTGGTTCCCCCTGGAACCGCTGTGCTGGGGAACAGGGCAAGTGCTTCATGCTGGTTCCCCCTGGACCGCTTTGCTGGGGAACAGGGCAAGTGCTTCACGCTGGTTCCCCCTGGAACCGCTGTGCTGGGGAACAGGGCAAGTGCTTCACGCTGGTTCCCCCTGGAGCGGCTTCTGACAGGGCTCCCCCACTCCTGTTTATTTTCCACGTTTTCTGTCTCCTGTGTTCACTTTCTCTTTTATGGACTTCATTCTCAATGTGTTGTTATTCTTCCTTTGTGCCCTTTATAGCTTTTGGTGGTAATATTATGGACTTTGATATGTTAAGCCTTGCTAGCAGCATTAAGCCTTAAAAAGTCAGTGACACCTCTAGAAAGGTTTAACATTAGTTGAGTATTAAAAATAATTCCCACTACTCAAGTGATTTTTAAAAATCTCATAAAGTTACTTTCGTAAGATTTACAGTGTTGTTTCTTATGGCAGTTGACCAGTTCTAACTTTGGCAATTATATTTAGCCATTAAATTTTCTCTTCCCTCTCCTCCGCCCCCTCGCCACCCTCATTTCCTTTGGATTTTTCATTTCCTTTCTTTGTTTACTGCACTCATGCTCGTAGTTGCCTGCATTCGTGTGGAATAAATGATTTGTGTCCATAATTCTCAGCTCCTAAGAGCAAACTTTGTTTCATTCATTCTCTAGCATGTGCTCTGCGCAGCACCTCCAGGTATGTTGCTCCCAGATTAAGTACATATCTGAGTACTTGCATAGACTCCTAATTTAGAGTTTGAATATTTAATCTGTCTACATCATAAGGCACCTTGTTAACTGAATACTTTGTATCTTAGCCAGAATACTTTCACCTTTTTATGAAGGAGGGGGCAAACTTGGGAGGTCCCTGGTAACACACTGAGACGTTTTACATTCCACCAGTGATAAGCAGAATTTAGCAGAGATTAGAATTGTATTATATGAATTTAGTATTGATTTCAGGACCACAGCTTTTCCATTAAACACATACTATTCTGCCTTTGCAGCCTAAGTGCCCTTTAGCTACCTCTACCCCCACCCTGCAACATTTATGCTGAATGTAACCTTTTGCCTATATCCATAGTCAAATGAAAGAAGCTTAACCTTGAAGTTGTTGGGTTATTTCAGTCCTACTAGCAACAGCTTTTGTGGTTCACTAATGGAAATAGTCTCAGACTTTGCAGTGGAAAAATTGCCGTCGGGCGCCTCAGTGATGGATGGATTTGCTGCTGGGAACCCTCCTTGAGGCAAAGGAAGCGCACTGCTAGCGCTGCCAGTGCCCCTGCCGTCAGTCTCGGACATCCTAAAACCATTTCGGCCTCGTTTGCTGTGTATTTCTGTAGTCCCTACTTGTCCACCGTAGTTTTTCTCCTTTCCGATGGTTTATTGCAATTTAGGTTCTCATTGCAAAATAACTGATTTTTACATTGACTACTTTGTATCCCTTAGCAATGTGGGCAACACTATTACACATTAAGCTTAAGGTAGGGTGTGTGTGTGTGTGTGTGTGTGTGTGTGTGTGTGTGAGAGAGAGAGAGAAATCACTGCCAGTAGGTTAGAAAAGTGGAAGAAGAGTGGTACTGTTATCAGAGAGAGACCTTGAAGACCTAGGTTTCAGTCACAGCCACCACTGACTAGTTGTGTGAGTTGCCAGTTAACCCTTTCTGGGCCTCAGTGTCCTTACCTTTGACATGAGGAGATTGGACTAGATACTGTCTAATTCATTTCCCGATTTAAAATTATCTGTGTTTCTTTGCCTAGTTAAAACTCAGCTTGATATTTCAGTAGTTTTACTTGGGAGTTAGGAAGGGGTTTGATATGGCATTCTCTTAATGCTGTTTTAATAGTATAATGATATATGTTCTTGGAATTGTTTCATATACACATATACTGAAAAAAAAGTGGCTTTTCTTTTTCTTCCAGGACAGTGGCTTTGTGCATATTCATACTCCAATAATCACATCCAATGACTGTGAGGGGGCTGGAGAACTCTTCCAAGTTGAAGTAAGTTGTGCTTTCCATCTTGGGGGATGTATTGCTCTCTGCTCTTTTTCATCTGAGCGTTTATTTTAAATTTCATGAGTTGTGTGGATAGACCGTGACCAGAACCTGAGATTTTTTTCAATAGTGATCCTTAAAAAAATATGTGGAAAATTCGAACTTCTCTGATTCCTGTCCTACCAGCTGCACTACGTACATTGTGACTAAAAGGAGTAGATTTGTAGTCTGACACTCCATTTGCTTTTTTTATGGAGAAATTTGAAGAGACTAATAAAGATTCTAAGATATCTTCTGTGAAAATTCAACCCCCAGTTAATATTTTTGGATGTAAGTCATATTTTGAAAGATGAATTAAAATAGAAGAGTATATATGTTGAGAGTATACTCAGAGTCTCTAAAAAGTACATTTTTCATGAGAAGTGGTTTTTCTGACAGGTATAGGGTGATATATCATTGTTTTAATTTGCATTTCTCTGATGATTTAGTGACATTGAGCATCTTTTCATCTGCCTTTTGGCCATCTTTATGTTCTCTTTGGAAAAATGTCTAGTCAGGTCCTCTGCCTACTTTTTAATTGAATTGTTTCTTTTTCTTTTTTTTTTTGTTTTTGTTTTTGTTTTTTGGTGTTGTTAAGTTATATGAGTTCCATATATATTTTGAATATTAACACCTTATTTGATATGTCAGTGGTGAATATCTTCTCCCATTCAGTAGAATGTCTTTCTGTTTTGTTGATGGTTTCCTTTGCTGTATAAAAACTATTTAATTTGATATAGTTTCATTTGTTTATTTTTTCTTTTGTTTACCTTGCCTGAGGAGACATATCCAAAAATTTACATATTGCTACCAGTGATGTCAAAGAGTTTACTGCTTATATTTTCTTCTAAGAGTTTTATGTTTTCAGATCTTAAATTATAGTTTTTAATCAATTTTTAGTTTAGTCTTATATATGGTGTGAGAAAGTGATCCAGTTTCATTCTTTTGTGTATCTGTCCAGTTTCCCCCACACTATTTATTGAAGAGACTGTCTTTATTTCATTTTATATTCTTGCCTTCTTTGTTATAGATTAATTGACCGTACAGACATGGGTTTATTTCTGGGCTCTGTTCTGTTTCATTGATCTATATGTCTGTTTTTATGCCAATACCATGCTGTTTTGATTACTATAGCTTTGTGGTATAGTTTGATATCAGATAGTGGACATCCTTGTTTTGTACCTGCAACTTTGTTCTTTCTCAAGATTGACTTGGCTATTCAGGTTCTTTTGTAGTTGTATATAAATTTTATGGTTCTTTGTTCTAGTTTTGTGGAAAAAATGCCATTGATACTTATATAGGGATTTCATGGACTCCGTAGACTGCTTTGGTTATTATGGACATTTTAACAGTGTTAATTCTTCCTATCCATGAGCACAGTATATCCTTCCATTTATTTATATTCTCTTCAATTTTATTCTGGAATGCCTTAAATTTTTCCAAGTATAGGCTTTTTACCTCATGGTTAAATTTATTCCTAGGTGTTTTATTCTTTTTGATGGCAATTGTAAATGGGATTGTTTTCTTAATTGCTCTTTCCAGTATTTCATTATTGGTGTATAAAAATGCAGCCTATTTCAGAATGTTAATTTTGTGCTCTGCTGCTTTACTGAAGTAATTTATTAGTTCCAACAGTTTTTTGGTGAAATCTTTTTTTTTTTTTTTTTTTATCCTCACCCGAGGATATTTTTCCATTTTTTGTACAGATAGAGTGGGAGGGAGAGAGAGGAAGGGAGAGAGAGAGAGAAACATCGACGTGAAGGGACACATCGAGTGGCTGCCACCCGCACAACCAACCAGGGCCAGGGACAAACTGCAACTGAAGTACGTGCCCTTAGCGGGAACCGAACCCGGGTCTCTCCGGACTGCAGGCCGACGCTCTAACCGCTGAGCCAAACTGGCCAGGGCGGTGAAATCTTTTTTTTTTTTTTATCCTCACCTGAAGACATTTTTTGCATTTATCTTGAGGGAGAGAGGAGGGAGGAGGGGGAGAGAGAGAGAGAGAGGAGAGGAGAGGAGAGGAGAGGAGACATGAGAGAGGAGAGAGAAACATCGACGTGAGAGAGACACATTGAGTGGCTGCCACCCACACGGCCCCAACCAGGGCCGGGGACAAACTGCAACCGAGGTTCATGCCCTAAGCGGGAACCAAACCCGGGCCTCTCTGGTCTGCAGGCTGATGCTCTAACTGCTGAGCCAAACTGGCCAGGGCTTTTGGTGAAATCTTTAGGGTTCTCACTGTATAGTATGGTATCATTTGAAGATACATAATAACAGTTTTACTTCTTACTTTCCAATTTAGATGCTTTTTATTTCTTTTTCTTGTCTGATTGTTGTGGCTAGGACTTCCAATAATACTACATTGAATAAAAGTAGTGAAAGTGGGCATCCTTGTCTTGTTCCTGATCTTAGAGAAAAAACTTTTAACTTTTTATCATTGAGTATGATGTTGGCTGTGGATTTGTCATATGTGGCCTTTATTATGTTGAGGTATATTCCTTCTATCTGCACTTGGCTGAGAATTTTTTGTAAAATGGATGTTGAATTTCTGTTAAATGCTTTTTCTGCATGTCTTGATATGAATATATGATTTTGTTGCTGTTGTTGTTAATCCTCACCTGAGGATAATTTTTTCATTGGTTTTTTGTTTGTTTGTTTGTTTGTTTGTTTGTTTAAGAGAGAGTGGAAGGGAGGGGAGCAGGAGGAGAGAGAGAGAGAGAGAGAAAGAAACATCTATGTGAGAGAGGGACACATTGATTGGTTGCCTCCTGCATGTGCTGGGGATCAAACCTGCAACCCAGTTATGTGCCCTTCACCAGGAATCAGACCCATGACCCTCCAATGCATAGGCCAGTGCTTTAACCACTGACCCATGCTAATCAGGGCTGATCATGTGATTTTTATCCTTCATGTTTTATGTGCTGTATCACATTAATTGATTTGCAGATATTGAACCAGCTTTACATCCCGGGAATAAATCCTGGGATTATAGAGTATTGTATTGCTGAATTTGGTTTATTAATATTTTCTTGAAGATTTTTGCATCTATGTTCATCTAGGATATTGGCCTATAATTTTTTAATTTTTGTTTTTGTAGTGCTGTCATCTAGTTTTGGTATGAGGGTAATTTTGACATCATAAAATAAGTTTGGAAGCCTTTCCTGCTCTTCAGTTTTTTGGAGTAATTTGAGAAGAGTTATTCTTTAAATGTTTGGTAAAATTCAGCTGTGAAGCCATATGCTCCAGGACTTTTATTTGTTGGGAGTTTTTTTTTATTATTATTACTAATTTAATATTGTTAGTAGATATCAGTCTGTTCTGATTTTCTGTTTCTTCCCGATTCAGCCTTGGAAGATTGTATGTTACTAGAAATTTATCTGTTTCTTCTTGGTTATCCAATTTTTGGTATATAATTGTTGATAGTATTTTCTTTTTATTTTTTGTTTTTATTGCTTTTTTTGGGGGGGGGGGGGGAGAGAGATATCAATGAGAGAAAGAAACAGTGATCTGCACACCCCTCCACTGGGAATCAAGCCCCAAACCCAGTCATGTGCCCTAACTGGGAATCAAACCGGCAACCTCTTGGTGCATGGAACAACACTCAGTCCACCGAGCCACACCAGCTAAGGCTCTGGGTTTTCTTTTTGCCTTTTGCTTTCAGCTTTCGAACAGTTACCACTTATATGCAAATGTGTTAGTCATATTTAAGCTTTTAATTACAGTTCTTCTATGCCAAGGTGTGACAGATAAATGGTTACACATTATGAAATTAAATTAGACTGAGAAAATCTAAGAGTAGTACTTCATATAATAGGAACACTACTCACGTCTAGACTTTATACACTTAAGTCCTTTTTAAAGTGAAGAAGGAGCCCTGGCCAGTTTGGCTCGGCGGTTGGAGTGTCGTCCCGTGGACAAGAGAGTCCCAGGTTCGGTTCCTGCTGGGGGCACATACCTCAGTTGCAGTTTGTCCCCGGCCCCAGATGGGGTCGTGTGAGTGGCGACCACTCAATGTGTCTCTCTCATATTGATGTTTCTCTCTCTCTCTTTCCCCCTCTTCCTCTCACACTATCTGAAGATAAATGCAAAATAAATAAATAAAGTGAAGAAGGAACTGAAAGTGTAAGGCTGTTAAATGGAACCCACAGAGACGTGTAATCTTATATCTGAATTTCATACTGTGGACACTCATACTGAGAGTCTGATACTGAATCTCATACTGTTGAATGAAGTTCGATATTAGGTTGGTTTGCTCTTTTTATTATTTTGGTTGTGTGTGTATCATAAAATTTATCATTTTAAGTGTACAATTCAATATCATTAATTATATTTACAGCGTTCTATAACCATCACCATTATTTCTAGGACTTTTTCATCACCCTTACAGAAACCCTCTACCAGAAGCTCTCCATTCCCTCACCGTAGCCCCTTCTGACCTCTACTCTACTTTTTGTCCCTGGATTTCTCTATCTAGATATTTTATATAAATGGCATCATACAGTATGTGGCTTTTCATGTCTGGCTTCTGTTGTAGCATGTATCAGAATTAAATTTCTTTTCATTAGTGAACAACATTCCATTGTATGATTATACCACATTCTGATTAACCATTTGCTTATGTATTTATTTATTTATTTATTTATTTAGGTCCATGCCCCTAGCAGGAACCGAACCTGGGACTCTCTGGTCTGCAGGCCGATGCTCCAACTGCTGAGCCAAACTGGCCAGGGCCATTTGCTTATTGATAGACACTATGTTTTGTCCACCTTTGGCTATTATGAATAATGTTGTTCTGAACATTTGTGTACAGGTTTTTGTTTGAACACCTGTTTTCAATTCTTTTTTTTGTTTTGTTTTAATCCTCAACCAAGGATATTTTTCCATTTATTTTCGGATAGAGTGGGAGGGAGTGAGGTAGGGAGAGAGAAAAACAGAGAGAAACATCCATACAAGAGAGACACATTGAT